TGTCTCCTCCCCCTATAACTTCCTCGGGGATGGAGCAACCTCTCCATGAATTTTAAAACATTTAAAGACATACATTCAGGTTGCAGCTGCCTGAGGCAGGGAATAACACATAGGCAAGAGCAGACAGTTTTGAAAGGCTGCAAACCTGACAGGGACTCCAGGCATGCTCAGTCAAGGCCAAGGCCACCTAGGCTGTCACCACTGGCTGAGCTTTGCTCTGCACAAACAGCAAGTGAAACAGGCTAGGTTGACTAAGTCTCAGATCAAAACCAAATTGTAAAGATCAGGACAAGAAAATTTTTTTTTTCCTTCAGTTGGCTCTTAAGTATTTAAGGAAGGAAATCTCTTACAGCTTGAACATAGACAGAGACTTCAGAGACCACACATGCCAAAACAAAACAAAGAAATTTTTACAAAATATTTTTTACAAAAATAATTTTTAGGATCACAAGTCTGCATCTTGTACAGCAATTAACCACTAAGAAGAATATATGCAGTGTATTATTTGTTGAAAAAAAAATAAAATAAACAAAAAATAATAATAATTTTTAGTCAGGCGTGGTGACTCATGCCTGTAATGTCAGCACAAAGGCCTGAGTTCAATCCCCGGTTCCACAAAGAAAAAGAAGTATTCAGGCAAAAACTTACACATGAATGCTCATTGCAGCATGTTCCATAATCCTCTATAGGTGAAATAACCCAGGTGGCCATCAAATGAAAATGGACAACCAAATGTAGTGTCATGAAAAGGAACAAAGTCCTCATAGCTGCTGCACATGGAGAAGCCTTGAAAACACTGCTCTGTAAAACAAGGCAGACACAATGCCATCTCTTGTGTGACTGACATTTTCACTTGACCCCAACTTACAGTGGTTTCACTTTGTTGTTCTACATTATCATGGAGTTAACTCCACTGAAATTTCTCTGAAAAGCATCTTGATTTCGGATGGTTCAGCTTACCATTGTTATGTTTTTATGATGGATTTATCAGGATGTTAAATGTATTTTTAACTTAGGGTCCAGCTTGTAACCACATTATATGTCAAGGCACATCTGTATATGAAATATCCATAGGCTTATGGATATTTGCCTGTCACAGAATCAGGGCAAACCTATAGTGACAGAAAGTACGTTAGTGGGTTGCAGGAAGAGTAGGGAATGACTCTAATAGAACTAGGTTCTTTCTTTTCAAGTAGGAATATTTATTGGAGAAAAAGAATAGGGAATAGCAATAGCTCCTGAGATATAGGAGAGCCCTGGAATGGGTTGCCTAGAACAAGTTTTCTTTGTAGGTAGGGATGACAAAATATTTTCCAGAGCTAGATCTTAAGTTATAATTACATGAATATACAAATACTTCTGAGTGGTACACTTTGAAAGGATTTAAATGAACAATTTTGTATTTTTTTATTTCACTTTTTTTTTTTTTGTACCTTGCACTTGCTGGACAGGCGCTGTTCCACTGAGCTATATGCCTAGCTTTTTATTTGTTTTGTCAAGACAAAATCTCCCTGTGAAGTTCAAGTTGGCCTTAAACATGCTGTGTACCCCTGACTGGCCTCAAACTCAAGGGGATCTTCTAGCTGGGCATGGTGCGCACATGACTATAATGCCAGCCTTGGGAAGCTGAAGCAAGAGGATTACTTTGAGTTCAGAGCCAGTGTGAACTGCATAGTGAGACCCTGTGTAAAAAATGGGAGGGAGGGCTGGTGAGATGGCTCAGTGGTCTAAAGTACCTACTTAGAACAAGCTAAGCTAAGCAAAGCATAGGGACCGCGGTTCAATCCCCCAGCACCACATGCCAGCCAGCCCCGCCCCCTGGTGGGCTGAGCTGGCCACACACACAAAATAAAAAAATTATATATATATATATATATATATATATATATATATATATGAAATTTTAAAAAAAAATGGGAGGGAATTCCTCTTGCCTCAGCCTCCCAAGTACTGGAATTACAGGTGTACACCATCATGCCCAGCTTAAATGGTCAACTTTATATTCATTCTAGCACAGGAAAAAAATACATACCTACACATACTCAAAAGAGAACCATAGGATTTTGATTTTTTTTTTTTTTTTTTTTTTGGAACCAGGGATTGAACTCAGTCCCTTGTGCTTGCCACGGAAGAACTTATTCCAGTGAGCCATCTCCCTGGCCCCATAGGATTTTGAGTAACATATACTATAGGATCTGCAGATAGTGCCCAAAGAGGAATTTCCACTGAACATGAACAGCTGTAAGAACAAAGGGGAGACTAATGGGACTCATGGGCTGGTTATGAGGACCTGAGCACCAGGTCAGCAGACACAGCCGCAGCTCCGGCTTTTCTTCCTGTGCTGCCCCTAGGAACACATCCTGTGGGGCTGCCTGTTTCCTGCCCAGTTCATAATCCATTTGCCAAACTACCTACCCCAGCTTCAGAAAAACCAACTCTGGTTTTTGTGCAATCTCATTCTCATTTCTGTGCTACTGGGTAGTGGTCACCACTTCCTACAGTTACAATTCTTTTTTTGGTCCAGGACATTGCTGGCCCTTCCTACTTACTGTTCTTATGAATGCAGAAGCAGAGGACATGGCTAGCTCTTCATGCATTATTGAGCAGTAGTTTGAACATTACTGCAGTGTTGAACTGGCGACATTTTTCTTTTGTCCCCCTGTCCACTTTAAGAATAGCTTTTCTGGGCCGGGGAGATAGCTCAGGGCCAAAAGTGCCAGCCTGGCAAGTTCAAGGTCCTGAGTTCTATCCCCAGTCCACGCCCCACCAAAAAAAAAAAAGAACAATGAGTGGCTTTTCCACCCTTACCATACCCTTTATTATTTCATTTTGTGACAGGTGGCTTGCTATGGAGTCGAGCAAGCAAATACACCTTGTTTCTGTGCTTTTAGGAAGGGACAGTGTAATCTCAGTTCTTTTCCAACTCTCCTCTCTTACCAAGCCTGAGCAGCTGCCTAGAAGAAAAATCTGCCAACTCCAGACAGCCAGTGTGCAACAGCAGAAAGCTAGACTTGAGGGAGAAAGTGGGTGCTGTAGAACATTGCACTTGTGTTTTACACACAGGCTTTCCCATCAGAAACTTTCTCATCAGAATCTTAAGCCTTGGGGCTGGGGATTTGGCTCAGCTATAGAAAGCTTGTCCAGCAAGCTGGAAGCCCTGGGTTCAATCCTTGGCACCAAAAACAGAAAAATAAACCTCCCCTAAAAGAATCTTGAGCTTTAACATGGAACACTGTGACATATCTTCACAGTTGTTGAGTAACTAAAATCATGAATTGTGCAAATACCAAGCTGACAATAAGTTCACTTTATTTAAACTTTCTTCCTGATCATGCTTCCTATTCATCAAAACTTAGAAGTCTTTTGTTCCTCTGTAACTTTAACTGATTGTAAATTCTTTAAAGCCAAAGGTCTACTTTTTCATTATTTTGGGCCTCATAAATTACAAATAAACAGCAGCCAAACCAAATGCATCTGGCTTCTTAAGATCATGCTGTAGCTGTCTCTCATATACCCACAGTTCAAGCCCTGGCGTACCTGACACACCTGTAACCTGGGACAGTTCCTGCACTCCTCCTGTGGGTTCCTGCCTGGAGGAATGAGATACTGTTAGACGGGCAAGTTCTACTTGTGGCTGTCTGCTGTAGGCCCTGTGTGCTAGCCCTGGTTCTGGTGGCATACCTCTGCATTCACTCCTGTTGTGCCCCTGCCATCTTCAAGGGAGACAGATACACAGTCTTGGTCCAAGGGGTGAAGCATCATTTTATGGTTTGAAACAGTGTTGTAGAAGAAATTAGGGCAGCAGACAGCTCCCACTGAAGAGTTTTGTTTTGGTACTGGGAGTTGAATCTAGGCCCTTCAAACTGAGCTATCTCCTCAGCCCTATTTTTATTTTGAGACAGGGCCTTGATAAATTGACCATGCTGAATTAGAACTTGCCTCAACCTTACCTAGTGCTGAGATTATGGGCCTGTGCAACAGGCCTGGCTAGTTTGTCTCTTTGGTCTGCCTGCCATGTCAGTCCAGATGACTCTTGAACAGGAAGCCTCCCTACACGCTTTCTCTCAGTCATGACTGAGTCATGTGTGCACCATGCCCTTGCCGCAAGAGGGTCTGGGGGTGTCAGGCTCTAACGTGGGAGACTGATGTTCCCAACCCAGAAGTCAAGAACTGGCTATTGAGTCACCTCCTGTCCCACCCCCATCTAAGTTTTCAAAACCCCAAGATGTATAGCTGAGTTTGGGGTTTACTGGTTCTCAGTCATCCAGCTTTTAATATATAAAACACATAATTCAGAAGGACCAAGTTTTTTCTCACCATTTTAAATCTTTGCGATTCCTATAATAAAGAAATAATTTTTTCTTAATGTGAGGTTCCAGACACTGTGCCAGAAGCTTTATGTCTTTATCATAACCCCAAAACATCATGAGAAATTTATACTTTCCAAGGGTCAGCCAGATAGCTTAGCAGATTAAAGTGCCCGCTTAGGCAGATACAGGGACCAGGGGTTTGATCCCCAGCCTGCCCTGCTGGCCCTTTCCCCACCCCCAGGGCATGCTCAGATGGGAAGGAGACTAGGCGTGATAGCATGTGCCAGTAATCCCAGCTCTTGGGAGGATAAAAAACAGAAAGGATCAGTACAAGTCCAATCTATGTAGTGAGACCCTATAGACCCTGCAGTAAAAAAAAAAGTTATACTTTCCAATTTACAAGGAAGAAGGTGAGTCTCCTTGTAATTAGGAACTTTACTTGCAGTCATACAATTGATAAATTATCAATTTTGAACTAGTCTCAGATCCAAAATGTAGGTTCATTTCACTTTATTCCTGTTTGTTTGTTTTTAATAGGGTCTCACTACTTAGGTAAGGGTGATCTTGAACTCACTCTGTACCGCCACTCTTCCTGTCTCAGCCTTCCAAGTGCTGGAATTACAGCTCCTGATTATAATGTTTTTCTTCTTCATCTTTCCTGCCAGCTTTAATCATATTTTCTTTTTTCAGTGAAGAAAAAATGACTGCTGCCCGCATTAGGAAATGCCACAAATGTGGGACTGGCCTTATCAAATCTGAAGGCTGCAATCGTATGTCCTGCCGCTGCGGTGCTCAGATGTGCTACCTCTGCAGAGTGTCTATAAATGGGTACGACCATTTCTGTCAGCATCCCCGCTCACCAGGAGCCCCTTGTCAGGAGTGTTCACGATGTTCCCTCTGGACCGACCCGACTGTGAGTAGATCTGTGGCTTGGTTGGGGGGTGAGTAGCCTTACATTCCTGCAGTGAAATTATTTTCTGTATGAATGGCAAATTTTGAACCAGGAAATTCATAAATATCAACATAGCCGGGAGATGGCTCAGTGGAATAAGTGCTTCCCTGGCAAGCACAAGGGCCTGAATTCAATCCCCAGTTCTGATAAATATAAATATAAATATAAATATAAGTATAAATAAATAGCAACATAAAATTTTGAGAAAGTAACCAAAAGCTACTCAGCAGAAAGGTTGGCAGTATGGGCTAGTGGTAGATTGCTTGCCTAGCACACAAGACCTTGGCTTCCATCCCTACAACCACAACACAGACAAAGCTGCTCATCAGACAGTGGGCCAGGCATGGCAGTGTGTGCTATAGTCCTGGCTGTTTTGGAGGCTGACGTAGGGTCACTGAAGGCCAGGAGGTCAGGACCAGCCTGAGCAACACAGTGAGACCCCAACTCAAAAGCGTTCTTTCAGTCCTACAGGAAACAAGCTTTTATATATTGCATCTGAGGTATTGGTTATCTTACAAAGCTCACAAATACAATTTTTTTTTTTTTTTTTTTGCGGAACCAGGGATTGAACTCAGGCCTTTGTGCTTGCCAGGCAAGCGCTTCTACTGAGCTATCTCCCCGGCCCTACAAATACAAAATTTTAGTTCCTTGAATAAATATTAACAAATAGCTTGACCACGTAAGTATATTCCAGAAATGCAAAGATGGTTTTGTCTTTTTTTTTTTTTTGGTATGCATGCTTTATTTTATTTTATTTATTTATTTGTGTGTGTGTGTATGTGGCCAGCTCAGCCCACCAGGGGGCAGGCTGGCTGGCATGTGGTGCTGGGGATTAAACCGCAGTCCCCGTGCTTTGCTAAGCTTGTTCCAAGTAGGTGCTTTAGACCACTGAGCCATCTCACCAGCCCCGATGGTTTTGTCTTAACAACTCTATTAATATAATTTACCATATCTTTATATGGTAAAAGGGCATTTGATAAAATCAAACATCTGTATGTAAATGTTTTGTTGTTTCGCTTTGTTTTGTTTTGGAGTTATTTTGTTTTGAGACAGGGTCTCATTATGTAGTTCAGGCAAGCCTTGAACTTACTTTAGAGCCTTGGCTGGCCTCAAGCACTGGGATTACAGGCATGCACCACCACACCCAGACTCGGTGGCAGGCTCAGTACACAGGGCCAGCATGGTCATTGAACCCTGGTCCCTGCATTTGCCTAAGCAGATGCTTAATCTGCTGAGCTATCTCAGCAGCCGTGGCTGCAGCCTTTTGAGTCATGGGATTATAGGCATGTACCACCACACCTGACTTATGTAAAGTTTTTTGTTGTTGTTGTTGTTTTGTTTTGTTTTTTGTGGTACGGGGGATTGAACTCAGGACCCTGAACTTGCCAGGCAGGCACTTATTCTCCTAAGCTATTTCCCCAGACCTTGTAAGCTTTTAAAGTAATTTTTTTTTTTTGGTGGAACCAGGGATTGAATTTGCCAGGGAAGCGCTTATTCTACTGAGCCATCTCCCTGGCCCCTAAGCTTTTAAAATAGGTTGGTTTTTTTTTTTTGGTTTTTTTTTTTTTTTTTTTTTTTGGGGGGGGGGAACCGGGGATTGAACTCAGACCCTTGCACTTGCCAGGGAAGCGCTTATTCCACTGAGCCATCTCCCCAGCCCGCTTTTAAAATAGCATTTAAAAAATACTTCCTGAATATGACTTTTTGAAATTCTGGTATTTCAAAACTGTGTATTTAACAGTGAGATACATAGCAGCATTCCCACAAAGTTAAGTGTGACATACTTGCTGCTGTGTTCTGGAAGCATGCGTCCGTACTGGAGGTCAGAACCCATGCCACCTGGCATCCACTGGGTATTACTGTTCAAGTACTTGTGTATTAAAAAAAAAGAAAAATTACCATTTTCAACTGGGAAAAAACCAAATGAACAACTGGAAAGCCTTTATAAGCAGTAAAAAGATGACTAGGTACAAATGTCCCAAATATCACCCAGTGTAGTCACACATGCCTGTAATGCCAACACTTGAGAGGCTGAGGCAGAAGGATCATGCCAAGTTTAAGACCAGCCTTAACTACATAGTGAGACCCTGTCTCAGGGGGAAAAAATCCAGAATACCATGCTTTGTTCTTATTTTTCATTTTTTATGGTACAGTAGATCCAATGCAAGAGGATTCTACCACTGAGCTACATTCTCTGCCCTTTTTTATTTTTTATTTTAGACAGAGTCTCACTAAGTCACCCAGGCTGGATTCGATTTATCATCTCCTGCCTGAGCCTTCCAGGTAGCTGGGATTAGAAAGATGTAATTCTGCACTTTTCTTTAAATACTTTTTTGGAGTTTTTTTGCAGTACCGGGGATTGAACTCAGGACCTTGAGCATCCCAGGCAAGCGCTTATTCTACTGAGCTGTGTCCCAGGCTCTTAAATACATTTAATACTTAAAAAGTATCAATTTTTAAAAATTATTTTTAAACTAAAAAGCCCAGTCCTGAGCTGATCTGTAAGAATAACAGTGTGCTAGTAAGCACACTTGTTCTGCCAAAAGGTGATGCCATTGAAATGATTTCCCTGCTGACTCTAAGCAAGCATCTCAAGGCCCTCAGGATGTAGGCCTAGTGACCGATGGTCCTATCAGCTTTTGCTGAGACTACTACAGAAATAGGCAAAAGGGACCAGGGAGATGGCTCAGGGGAATAAGCGCTTCCCTGACAAGCGCAAGGGCCTGAGTTCAATCCCTGGTTCCGGAAAAAAAAAAAAAAAAAAAAAAAAAAAAATAGGCAAAAGATCAAAGAAACAGATAGAGACCAGAAACAGGCATATAAAGATTTAATGTACAATACAGATATGTCTCATCACAGTAGAAATGACAGATGCATTACTATTGTAGACTAGCCAGCGGGGCCTGAAGTGGTCCAAACAGAAATCCCTATCCTCATGGAATGTAAACTGGAGCCCTTGGTGTATTTCATGTTGTTCAGGAATAATTGTAGAGCTAGAGGAGACAGCCACTGTAGATAGAGCAGGAGGAACAAGGCCAAGCTGAGGAAGTCAAACAAATTGGATCCATTTTGGGACCACAGAGAGGGCAGGTATGGGCTGCAGGTACTCAGCTGTCAGGGTACAGGGTACAGGGGCCGCCTCAGAGCCTTCTTGGAGTCTGAGTGCAGAGGGAGGCACTGCAGGGTGTTACAGGGATTACGGCTCTAAAGTCACACTGGTTGCTTTACAGAGCAAGGTGACTGACCTTCAGCAGTGATCATGGGCACTTGGCTAAATCACTGGGAATACTTTGAGGAAACAGTGATGACTTGTAACCATAGACTAGGAAAGGTCTTTCTGGTCTTTTTTAGCATTGTATCAAATCCAAATTAAGAACATGAAATTCTTGGCAAAAACACCATGAACAAAGATAAAAATAAATAAGAACTGAGTAAAATACTTAGAACACATGATTTAGAAAATGAGTTTTTCTTTGGGTGGTACTGGGATCTAACCCAGGAGTACTCTACCACTGAGCTAAATCACCCAGCCTTTATTGTGTGATAGAATCTTGCTAAGTTACCCAGCTAGGCTGAGTAGCTGAGATAACAATAGGACTAAGGACCACAGGAGCCAGCAGAGTGTAGCAGGGACAGCGACAGCTAGGGAGGATGTGGGGCCCTCACAGGTGTGGCTGCTCAGCTTGCTGGCATGTTACTGCGTAAGACCATGGCTATAGCTTCTGGGCCCCCAGAGGCTGAACATCTGTATTTCTTTTTTTTTTTTTTTTTTTTAAATCTGAGCTATCTCCCCGGCCCTACAAATACAAAATTTTAGTTCCTTGAATAAATATTAACAAATAGCTTGACCACGTAAGTATATTCCAGAAATGC